ATAGGATTCAAATTTTACTGGAGATGTCTTTACAATGGATTCCTTGTCTTGGCACTGCAAGAATATTGTAAGCTCTGACTCATACCGTTTGGTCATGTCCTATCATGGCTTTGTTTTGGTTTCATGTTATAACTCATTTCAATATAGTATTAGAGCAGAGGTCTCCAAACCTGGCAACTTTAGGACTTGTTAAGACTAGGCTGGCTGAAAGAATTCTGGGAGTTGAAGTCCACAAGTCTTAAAGTTGCCAAGTTTGGGGACCCCAGTATTAGAGGAAAAAAAACATATTTATTTATTTATATTTATTTATATCTCGCCTTTATTATTTTTAATAAACAACTTAATAAACAAGTTAATACCTAATCCTCCTACTTCATTCGATTTTCCCCACAATATCCCTAGGAGGTAGATTGGGCTGAAAGAGAGTGATTGACCCAAAATCACCCATTCAGTTTTCATGCCTAAGGCGGGACTAGAACTCACCATCTCCTAGTGATTGGCCCAAAGTCACTCAGCTGTCTTTCATGCCTAAGGCAGGAGTAGAACTCACTGTCTCCTGGTAATTGACCCAAAGTCACCCAGCTGGCTTTCATATCTTATCGTGGAACTAGAACTCACCATCTCTTGATGATTGGCTCAAAGTCACCCAACCAGCTTGCATGCTTCGAGGCAGGACTAGAACTCACAGGTTCCTGGACCAAACACCAAGAGACTGTGAGTTCTAGTCCTGTCTTACGTACAAAAAATCACTGGATTACTTAGGGTCATTTGCACTTTCTCAAACCAACCTACCTCATGGGGTAATTCTTGGGAAAATAGGAGGCGGAAGGAGCATTTAAGTATGTTCACCTCCCCCCACCCCCCCCAAGTGTATAAAGTAATAAAATCAGGATAAAATTCAAATCCAATAATAATAAATTCCCACAGCAAGCAAAGGAAGCAAATTAATCCATGTTCCTAAATGTATAAAGTACCATATTTTTCACACTATAAGACACACTCCCCCCCCCCACAAAAAAAAAGTGGGTGGAAATATCTGTGCATCTTATACAATGAATGTTTCTGAAACACCACCCACCCGCCGGCCCCCATCGTTTGGCCTCTGCCTCCCAGCCATTTGCCTCCTTGCAGCTTCAGCACAGCCTGATTAGCACAAGCAGCTAATTGACGGTATTGGCACATTCCCATTTTTGGCCTCCGTGCACCACATTTTTGGCCTCCGCGCGCCCCATTTTTGACTTCCGCGTGCCCCATTTTCAACCTCCGTGCGTCCCATTTTCAGCCCGTTCCAGGAAGTAGTGAACGGGCCAAAAATGGGACACACAGAGGCCGAAAATGGGATGCATGGAGGCCAAAAATGGGACGTGCGGAGGTGGTGATAGCAGCGGTGATCGGCGGTGTCGATCCCCACAGCCTGGAACAGCTGATCGTTGGTATTCCGGGAGGCCGATCCAATCACCAATCAGTTGCTTGTGCCAATCAGGCTGTGCCGAAGCTGAAACAGGCTGTTTGCTGTTTACTGCAAGGAGACAAATTGTTGGGAGGCAGATTTTTTTTTCCCCTTGCTTTCCTCCCCCAAAAGCTAGGTGCGCCTTAAAAATCTGGAGCATCTTTTAGTGCAAAAAAATATGGCATTTAAAAAATTCAAACACATTCGTGAATTCCCTTCTCCCTTCCCCTTCTTTGCGATTTTGCAATTACACGTATAGCAATTATCCCCACTGTCCTATGCGAACATACACACATCTTCAATGATGAATTGTTTTTTTGTTTTTTTTTAAATGTGAAATCAATTAGCCAATGTTTTGTGAACAAAATAAAATCTCCTTGGCTGGCGAGAATTAAAATCTTTTTATGATTTTGCCGTTAACCTTCCAAACGTTTGCCTCCTGAAGAGGATTAATTATTAATTTAATGATTTTGATGTAAGCACATTTATTCAGAAGTAAGCACGCCAAACATGGTCCTGCTGGGTTGAATGGATGTCGCTTCCTACAAAGGAGATTTAAAAGAGCAAACTCTAAATATGAATACCATAATTGCTTTATAATTTCAAATGGCGGCAGATATGTTCTCATTAAGCACCCTAGGCTCAAATCTTTCCTTTACAAGGGAGCTGTTTAGCAAGGTTAGATATATTTGGGGATAATTAACCATGGTGCTCGATTAATGATAGCCTCAAAAAAGGTCATTAAAATCAGGGAAATCTGATAGGTAACCGAAATTACAACCATCATGACTTACAACCATAGTGGGCAGGCTCCATTATGGTCACAACCTGAGGACTTCCTATTGTCATGCCCCTGTTGGAGACTGACTCTGAGGGAGAGGAGGAACAGCCGACAGGGAGTGGAAGTGTGGCTCCGAAGGTTGTTAGAGGAGGCTGGGAAAGGGCAGAGGCTGGTTGGGCAGTCAGAAGAACCAAGCCGATCCCCTCTGCATCCTAGGACACGCAGGGAGGAATGGAGAAGAAAACAACTTGGCTTACGAGAGAGGAAGCGGCCATGATCCCCCTCATTAATTACAGCTGGGGAGAATAGTATATAAGAGAGACGGTTACAACACAGCGTTGCCAGAAGCAAAGCGAGTTTTATTTTGGGCTGAAGTTATCTTGGTTGGCGTCCTTCCAACATACTGTACCTTGTTATCTCTTTGAAGTTGGTAATTACTTATCCTGGTCCGTTGTGGAAATTTCTTCATTGTAGTTTGTTTGGTTTTTTATTTCATCTCTATCTGCTCATTAAGTTCGGACTGTATTGCTTTCTTTTGAAGACTATTTTTGAGTAAGTTTTACCTCCAACTGAGAATTATTGAACAGTGGGGCCAAGTTGGAGGCATTAAAGGACATTTATTTACATTTTGGATTTTGTTACGTTTGTGTTACACTCCGGGTCATCACAGGAAACATTTGCACCACTCAGGAGACCCTGAGGACACAGATAAACCTCAGAAGTGCTTCAAGGACCCTCTAAAAGGAAGCAAATGACCAGCTGTCTGCAAGGAGTATAATATAAATCCTTCCATTCCCCACCATCCAGTCAGAGCTGAAGAAGCTTCTTGGATGAGAAGCAAATCGTCTTCAAATAAAAAAACTCCCTTCAAACAGTGTGGGAGTATGAATGGATTTCCAGAAAAATTGCAGACTACAGGAACCAGGAGCACCACTCAGGTGATCCTGACGACACAGACAAACCTCCAGGTGGCCTCAATGACCCTCTAAAAAGGATGCAAATGACCAGCTGTCTGCAAGGAATATAAACCCTCCCATTCCCCACCATCCCGTCAGAGCTGAAGAAGCTTCTTGGATGAGAAGCGAAACGTCTTCAAAGAAAAACCAGAAAGTCCAGTTGCCTCTTGAAAAAAGGCACCTTGGGGACATCTGTATAAATGCTTCACGTTCAAATCTTTCACCTACCTCTCTATTTCAGGCGCAGTGACTCCAGATGTGGCCATACTCTCTGACACCGATCCTTGAGTTTCCTTTTTTGTGGGCTCCAACCCACTCTTGATGTCATCAAAATTTTCGTATTTCAGAGCTTGGACAAGCTGCAGTAAATACATCAGCAGATCCTGGGGGCAGAAAACAGAAGACGCGGGGAAATTTGACATAGGAATTTGATTTTTATTTTTTTTTAACAACAAGGAAGGGGCCAGAAAGGGTTCGGGGAGGGAGGGAGGGAGAGAGGGAGGGAGAGAGAGAGAGAGAGAGAGAGAGACGGAGCCCGGGCCATCTGTCAGCCCTCAGATGGAGAATCAACAGCCCCCAGATCTGGAGGTGGCTGATGAGGAGGAGGAGGAACAGCCGGGTCCAGTGCCTGATGCACAGATGCACAGAAGGCAGAGGAGAGGAGAGCAGTGGAAATCTATGGGCTGGTCCTTGGGACGGAAGAGCCACCGCTGCAGGGGGCAAAGATGAATAGGTGTGACAGATAACTATTCATCTCCTTGGTGGTATGTGTGTGTGTGTGTGTGTGTAAGTGGGGGGAGGGAGGGTTTTTTTTTGGCCAGAATGCTGGAGCTCCTAATAAAGGCATAATTGATTTAACTACAGAGGGTTTGTTGTGTTTGGGAGCCGGGTCAGAACATATTCCATAACAACAATAATAGCAATATCATCATGATCATCATCATAATTGTCCTCATTCCTGCTTTATAAATTGAAGAGGTGGCTGGCTAAGGAATTCTGGGAATTGAAGTCCACAAGTCTTATAGTTGACAAGACCCCTGTTTTAAAGCATGTCCTTGCTTCCAAACAGCGGTCTCCAATCCTGGCGGCTTTAAAAATTGTGGACTTCAATTCCCAGAATTCCTCAGCCAGCCATGCTGCCTGGAAAATTCTGGGAGTTGATGTCCACTAGTTTTAAAGTTGACAAGTTTCAAAATCCTGGCTGAGGAATTCTGGGTGTTGAAGTCCACAAGTCTTAAAAGTCATCAAGCTTGGAGACCCGTGCTTTAAAACCTGACAAAGGGATTTTGAAACAGCGCACGATGACTGAACCGGTTGTTACACCAGCAGCATCCCACTACTGCCTTCAATGCCCCTTCCAACTTTGTTATTGGTGCTTAATGACTACCATTAAGTGTTGTACCTTATGATTCTTGACTCTTAATGAATGTACCTTTTCTTTATGTATACTGAGAGTATTTACACCAAGACAAATTCCTTGTGTGTCCCATCACACTTGGCCAATAAAGAATTCTATTCTATTCTAGAATACAGTAGAAAATAGAATAGAACAGAACAGAGAATAGAATAGAATAGAACACAGAAAATAGAATATAGAATATAAAATAGAATAAAATATACAGAATAGAATAGAACATTATTTGAGTAGAAGAGAAGAGAATAGAACACAACAGAATATAAAATAGAATAGAATATAGAAAAAAAAATTACAACAAAGAAGGGGGCAGAAAGGGTTGAGGGAAGGCTAGGAAGGGGAAAACAAAAAGAGAAAGCAGAATGGAAGTGGAAGAATATAGAATATAAAATAATAGAATAGAATAGAATAGGAAAATAGTAGAGTAGAGTAGAGTAGAGTAGAGTAGAGTAGAGTAGAGTAGAGTAGAGTAGAGTAGAGTAGGAATAGGAATAGGAATAGGAATAGGAATAGGAATAGGAATAAGAATAGAGTAGAGTAGAGTAGAATAGAATAGAATAGAATAGAATAGAATAGAATAGAATAGAATAGAATAGAATAGAATAGAATAGAATAGAATAGAATAGAATAGAATAGAATAGAATAGAACAATAATTTTATTGTCACTTTGAGCGTACACTAATCGGCATGCATTAAAATGAATTTTGTTGTATACAGCTCTCAAACAGTCACCACCTCTGATATACACTACATAACCATGACAGAATGAATGAATGAATGAATGAATGAATGAATGAATGAATACATACATACATACATACATACATACATACATACATACATACATACATA